ATAATTAGATTAATTGCTTTTCAAGGGAAGACTAACTTTTTTTTAATGAACCATGCATTTATTTAGTGTACTCGGGGGAAAAAAAATTAGATTACACTGGTAATTTGCTGCTGGGCTGGAGCTGACTTTTCTGGAGTGAAGGGGGATTTCCTATTACGTGGTGTTTCTTGTGGCTATCCCACTTCAGCCTGTGAGCAAGCAGAATCTGTTTAACCTTGTGTTCAGAAGTGACTTTGAGATCCCCTGGAGCATCCTTTCTGTGCAGTGGGGGCTGTTATGAAAGCCAAGTTTAGGGAAAATCATAGGCGAGGATTTAAAATTTAAAAAATACTGTGTTGTGTTCCAAATACTGACCAACTGTTTATGTCATCTAAAGATTTGAACCTGTGCTGCCTTTAACTAGCATACAGTGTTAGAGGCACAGCAGTAGCGCCTTTTAATCAAAAGCAATTTGCAAATTTAAGTGGCTACAAGTTTTGAGTGATCCTCTTGGCTAAAGGCAGCTGTTTCTAAAAGAAAACATGTCTGCTATTTAATAGCATGTCTGAAAATGATTTAGGGTGGTGAATGGTGAAATAGGTCTTGGAAACGTGTTGGAGATCATAGATAGCATGTAACCATCTAAGTTAAAGCATTTGGGTTAATCTTTTACCGTTGTTAAAATGCTGGGAAATTAAATCCTGCTTTTTTTTATTTTTAGTTATTTTTAGACATTTTTCCTGAAGGATATTCATGAACTCTGAAGGAAAGACTTGTTTCGTCTGTTACCTGATAGCTGGAGTTCCTCAGAAATGTCTTTCTTACATATTTAAAGCTGGGCCTATGGCTGTATAGGTTGTAGGAGCTGCAGGTACTCAGGCTGCATCACAAAATCATTGCAGAGCACTTCAGCAAGTTTTGAGATAACATAAATTCCTGATGGAAGGAGTTAGCTTTGTTACACCCATTGTATGTTGTTTCTACATATGGTCATCTACAGTAAGTATCAGCAGAACCTGCTGAGATTTTTACCTCAGAGGGGTATAGTGAATGTAATCTTCTTAGGAGAGGGGAAAAAACCTCCTGGAGAAAAATATGCACGTTTATTTGATTGCTTTAAGATTTGTTGGCTCACAAATGAGTAGAAGGAAAAGCTCTTAAAGTCCACGTATCTACTACCAACTTCTACAAGCATTTAACTAGCATTTGAATTCTTTTGACAGACCTCAATGGCTTGATGTTTATTTCATTTAGCGGGGGAAAAAAGGAAGTCAATTAGTGCCTTATTTTTTCTGTTACTCTGAGGAAAAAAACGCAACCTCTGTGGTTTGTAAGGAGCCATCCAGGCATTTGGGCACGGGGAGAGCTCACAAGGGATTCCAGCCAGCAAGTTGCCCTGTTGCTCAAGAGGGTATGGCTTTGGCCACAGAAATGGGCACATTCTTGGGCAATGTGAATTTGACAGTGGCTCTGAAAATGGACAATAAATCACAGAATCATAGAATCATTAAGGTTGGGAAAGACCTTTAAGATCATCAAGTCCAACCATCAACCCAACAGCACCGTGCCCACTAAACCATGTCCCAAAGTGCCACGTCTACACGTTTTTTGAATACTTCCAGTGATGGTGACTCCACCACCTCCCTGGGCAGCCTGTTCCAATGCTCGAGCACTCTTTCAGTAAAGAGATTTTTCCTAATATCCAATCTAAACTTCCGCTGGCGAAGCTTGAGGCCGTTTCCTCTCGTCCTATACCTATATTCTTCTAAAACTTGTTTTTAAAGCACTGTTTATTTTGAGGGATTTATTTTAATGGAACTTAATCTACTGGGATACTGCAGGAAATCTGGAAAGTATGCAGACGCTTTTCAAGAACTAGCTTGCAAGCTGTTCCCATTGCTCTCATATTTCTGGGGAAATGGGTTAAATGGGGGGCTTTGGGAGCTGCAGCATGATGTGAGAATAGCTTGTACAGAACAAAGAGGAGTGACTTGCTGTAGTAGGATGGGCTGAGGATTTAAGGCATGGGCAGAGTGCTGGCACGAGGAACTCGAGTTAAGGTGCAGGAATTTGAAGGCAGGGCTCCAGCTACCTCTTGTTTATCTTCTCCCTTGGGTGTTCATCTTGGAGTGAGTGAGCTGTTCCTTACGTGAGCTGGAAAGCACGAGCAGAGGATGGGAACTTGAGGCAGACATGGACTTGAACTGTCTGTACTCCAAGAAATAAAGGTTTAAATGTATGACTTTTAAGTCACTTAAAGGTGCAGAGAAGGGGCTTGAGCCAAAATATGGGTCCAGGGCCAAGAGCATTGTTGTTGGCTCCTGCAGTAGTTGGGCATGTGCAAGCCAGGGGCTGCTTGTCCATGTACAAGCTGAGCCTTGATTCTTCTACTTTGAAGTGATGATCCAGTAGTCTCATATATTATGCAAACTGGTTTCTCTTTTACTTTATTCTCTAGCTTTGGTATTCATTGGCTTTATTTCAAAGGTAGTGTACACCGAGTCTTGGGCATTTTTCTTTGTAGCAGTAAAATTTGTATTCAAGTAAGGTGCATTCATTCTGTTCTGTCAGTAAACATTCATCAAAAGTTCTGGAAATCCTCTTAAGCTAATTACATTTTATAATCCTTTAATGCTTCTCCACAGAATTCCCAGGCACAAATTCCCATTTTCACTCCTAGGCCACTTCTGTATTTCTCTTCCTGCAGGTAGTCCCCGTGACAAAAATAGTTTCTGCAAATGCTATAGACAGCGTCTTCAGACCTTTTTGCTAAATGAGACATATATGGGGTGATAAGGTTATTGTATCTCTCTCTCTCTCCTTTGGTTAGATATAAAGGGAGGTGGTAGAAACCAAACTGCCTCATAAAAATAGAGCTCCCTGGGTGCATGATGGCAGAGTTACAGCAGTTGAGTTGTTGTGAGAGCAGATATACGGATTCAGGATAAAGTTTCATCTCGTCATATTCTGGCTTCTAGAGTAGCTAATAGTGATGGTGGAGGATGGAGTGCTAGAATGGAGGGAAGGAGTGTGAAGCTGTGTTTTCCTAGCCTATGGTGTCCCCTATAATCAGAATTTAGAAAATAATAAAAAGTATCCTCATTTTTGTGGGATCTCACTTTTTAGAAACCTTTTTATTACTTAATAGTATCCTATATTCAACTCTCCATCTGTGCTGACATTTTGTTTCTGAAATATTTGGGTGCTGTGCATTTGCTCTAAATCATGAATACAAGTTCTTCAGATAGCATCCATGATGGCTGCAAACAGTGCAGCTTTTTGTTGCAGCTCTTCATTTCTCTTTTGTAAGTTTTCCTCATTTTTATACTGTTGTTTATTAAAATTAACTGCTACTAGAATGGTCTTTTCTGGAAGTAACTGCTTCTGCAATGATCATGAGCAAGAGAATTGTTTCAGGAGTGATTCTTGAAACAGATCCGATATCTTTGTCGAGACCAAGGGACGAGTTGCTGCTGGGTGGTAGCTTACATCTTCTAATATAGCTGTCCCTGTTATGTTTTATGCCAGCTCAGGAGTGTGTATTTAGGTTACACGGTAATACGTTGCACAGCACTTTTATTGTGATGGGGGTGCTTTTTTTTTTAAATACAAACTTTTACAGCTATTGGTCACAGTTATTCCTTCTCAAAAGATGGAAGATTATTGAGGCTGATGTCCTGGAAAGATGCAAGATGCTTAGGAGCATCCCTGGCACATAATTAATAGCATCATGGTGGGTTTTCCTTTTAATTAAATTGTTTATAAAGCAGAGAAGCGCTGATAAGCAGCATGGAGAATTGAAATCTTCTCATTCTCCGCACAGATCAAGTACAACAGACCTAGTAATGAAAAGGTTTTGGAGTGTGTCTTGACCAATCTCTGTGACATTGCTTCAAAAAGCAGATTATTTTGCAAAGATCAGGAGGTTCATGGATGGTTGGTAGTGCCTTCCCTCACTTGATGCAGGTTATCTGTGCAGCAGTGATAATGTGCTTACTCTGTCAAGGTAGGGGGGCTTTCAAAGTGTGGATCGTTGATGGCACGCAGGAATTAGCTGCGTGATGGACTCCCTTTCTTGACAATAAGACTCACTGGCCTAGCTGTCTGGGCATATTCAATTGGAAAACCTATTTTTGAGTAGCTTGTCAACTCACCACTCCTGTTTGAATTGTGAATTCCCTGCAGTTTTCCTCACTGATAGCAGCCTTGATATTGATAGAGCTGTGACACTGTTCTTGCTGAGTGTAATTTATGAAAATCCAAGTGAGACGATGACTGAAGTATATAGCACAGTAAGTTTTAACTTCTCTGGATGAGGATGTTATTGTCCTAATTTTGTTGAAAGACAATCTTCTTAATATCTTCCTATGTGCCTGTTTTCTGCATTTCAATAATTGTTCAAGGTAGTGAACTAAAGCTTTACTGATAGCTAATTTAGGATCTGTTTAGGGAACTTTTGGAGAGAGTCCAATGGAGGGCTATGAGGATGATTAAGGGACTGGAACATCTTTCGTATGAGGAAAGGCTGAGAGACCTGGGGCTGCTTAGTCTGGAGAAGAGAAGGCTGAGAGGGGACCTTATCAATGTCTATAAATATCTGAAGGGTGGCTGTCAGGAGGATGGAGCCAGTCTCTTTTCAGTGGTGCCCAGTGGTAGGACGAGGGGCAACGGGCACAAACTGCAGCACAGGGAGTTCCACCTCAACATGAGGAAAAACTTCTTCACTGTGAGGGTGACGGAGCACCGGAACAGGCTGCCCAGCGAGGTTGTGGAGTCTCCTTCTCTGGAGACCTTCAAAACCCAACTGGACGCGTTCCTGCGCAGCCTGCCCTAGGTGATCCTGCCTTGGCAGGGGGGTTGGACCAGATGATTTTCAGAGGTCCCTTCCAACCCCTACCATTCTGTGATTCTGTGTTATTCTTTATTTGTACAAAAGTCTTTAAATGCTTTTCTTTTTGTTTGTTTTTATTTTTTCCCTTGAAGAAATGAAAATTTAGAAAGGGATTTGCCAAGTAAAGAAGATGGGAGCAAATAGCAGCAGCATCAGCGAGCTTCCGGAAAATGAGTACTTAAAAAAATTGTCCGGAGCAGAGCCCATCTCTGAGAATGACCCATTCTGGAATCAGCTGCTCTCTTTTAGCTTTACCACTCCAACAAACAGGTAAGATGGTGCTTGTTGAAGAACTAAACCTTGATCTTATATTTGTAGAAGTGACAAGTCTGAAAGCAAATGAGTGGTTTTGTTAATTATTCCTGGTTTAGGTAGCAGAGGAATAAATGCCTGTGTAAAATGGACTGTTGTTTCTAATTTCCGAAGCTCTTTCCACCACCTCTTCCATTCCTGTGGATTCCTTTCTTCTTCATGATAGCTGTAATTGCTCTTCATTTTCCTGGTAGCTGGGAAAGATCAGAAGTAGGGTCTGTGGTGTTGGGGCGGAGCTTTTCTTTTTTTCCTTCTGGTTGTTTTGGGGTGCGCTTTTTTTTTCCTTTGAGAAAGCTTCTGGTGTCTCTGGAGTTGCTGAAGATTCCAATGCATGATATTTCCTCTTGACTTACAGTGAATTGTACATCTTCCATGACTTAATTGTAGATTAGCTGTTGAGTTTCTTAGTCTCTATGACTTTTTTCCCCCCCTCTTTTACATTTTAGAAGGAGGCTTGGCATGTTGTCTCCATAAAAATATTTTTTAAACATCTAAAAATTCAAGTTTTGCATGTCTTTTCACTCTAGCAAGTGGTGTAGATACAAACAGAATTAATATTTTTGAGAGGCTCCATAGCACATCTCCAGAAATACAGAACGTAAGTCCTGGTGGCTTCTGTTAACCCCAGTCCATTGCAAAGTTCATTGGCCTGTGTATTGATTATCACTCTTACAAGAACAATCTGGTATTACTTTAAACTGTTCTTACAGCTTACAATGTGACGTGATACTTTTCTGTCAGGTGAATGTCTTATTTACCCCCTTTATTCTTAGCAGTATTTCCTTGTGAAGGGCCTAGCTTTTTCATAAAGGGTCATAACAGACTACATCTAAATGCTTGTGTAACAGGTTTAAATAGGCCACAATGTGTTACTGCTAAAATTGGGAACACTTTTAATCTTTAAGTTAGAAATATATTTGAGCACTGTTCTGGCCAGTTTTGTTGCTGTCTTCCAATTTTTATTTTTTTGTTAAAACAGAGCTCCTGTCAAAATGTATGGTAGTTAAAGGTGATTTGGGTTTTTTTTTTTAAGAAGGTGAAAAACTGGTGCAGATTTATGACTACCCTGAGGTCTCTAACTTTGAATATAAACTAGTGATTGAATGAAGAACGGAATACAACTTCTAGTGAGATAGTTTACATGTTACATGGCTTACCTCTGAGCTGTGTCTTGTGCAAAGTAGCTTCTGAGAGGCAGACACATTTATTTTCATGACAATTAGGAGCAGATCTGGTAGATTATCTGTCTCATACTAGGGTGCCTGTGAGTAAGTGAAAGTTTAGACAACTGGGAGGGGAAAATGGTTAAGGTGAACAACTGGGAGGCATTTACTAGGCGTTACTTTTGTGAAGAGTGAGGAGGAGGAGGAAGGATTTTGTCTTCTGCGTGGAGAGAATAGGCAGAGGGTAGCAAGAAGATACAGCACTGTGAAGGCTTGTGAAGCTGGTAGAGGATGGTACTCGGTTGGCAGTGGGTGAGGGAGCGGTCCTTTTTCTCTGATCCCTGAAGATCTAAGAATTGTTTACAGCCTACCCATGACTAATGAAGCGGACAGTATTCTAAAAAGTCATATAATACTGCATGTATTTTTTTTTTAAGGGGAAAATAGTTGTATGTAAAGCTCAGCAATTTCTTTCACTTGTTCTACTGCTCCTCCCTCCCCTACCAAAGTAAAGGAGTTTTTCATAGCTGCTTTGCAGCTTTTTTGTGCCTATTTCATGGAGTCAGATCCAGCATGGAGTAAGTTTGCTTTAAAAAAAAAAAAAAGGAAAAAACAAACCAAAATAACAACCAAACAAAAAAACCCTGAAGAAACATAACGGGGAAAAAAAACCAAGAAAACAAAAAACCTGATCCAAAAGCATGTTGAAAGTTTAATTAGCTGAACACTAGATGGTGCTCTTGCCTGGCAGCTAGAAGAGAAGTATTTTTTAGAGGCGTCTTTTGTGCCGCTTAATAATTGGAAGGAAACAGAAATTTCCCATTAAGTTGCATCTACCTGAGAGAACCATTTGACAAATGATGTCAGACGATGTTGGCTGCACAGCACCCTCAGCCATTGTCTAAATCAGATAACCTTGCCTGCAGGAACAGAACAATAGAGGTCAATGTTCATTTCTGAGATTGAAAGCTTGCAAAATATCAGGTTAACTCTGTTTTGTTCTAATGAGACTTGAGTGTAGGTCATACTTTTGACAGGAGCAAGATGCTGTTTTTTTGACTGTTGTGGAAAGGAGCCAGTTTTCACCTGTCAAATAGGACACAATTTGAAGTTTTCTTCTCTTTTCAAATTATATTTTTTCCAATTGTATGTTGCAAAATTAACGTTTATAGTAGGTGATTGCTTGCTGGTGTTATTGGGAGCCATGTAAGTGCTGTGTGTTGTTTTCATGGAGGTAATTGGTGATACTCTAGAGTAAAAGATCTATCCTTGAATTTTTGCAAAGATGGGACTGATACGATCCCCAGGGAGAAGAGGGTCATATTCTCTGGATGCTGCGTTGGACATATTTTTGTCC